CTATGCTGCTTTGCTGCCACTGCTTACAGCCATGAGAGAACAAAAAACTTAGAATCTATGCTATTTTGCTTCCATTGTTTAGTACAAGCATATTACATAACCAAAAGAGTAATCCAAAAGTTAGAAAGTTTTCATGTTGCTGAAGTCTCAAAACCAGAGAAATAATTACATTAAGTAGCATGAAACAAGTGAAGTCTATTTACTGCAGCATCACTTCCATTTAGGCGCCATGATCAAACCTTTGCAACAAAAGACATAATTATAGGTCAAAAACACAATTGATTTATAATAAAGTATATCAATGTTATATCTTCAAATATACAGAAGGCTATCAACTTACCACACATGGTACATGTTGCAACTATATGTCAATAATAGTTGAATCTTTTGCACTATNTAATAAAGTATATCAATGTTATATCTTCAAATATACAGAAGGCTATCAACTTACCAGTTACCACACATGGTACATGTTGCAACTATATGTCAATAATAGTTGAATCTTTTGCACTATCAGCCAGATCTAAGGAAAATATAGAAGAAAACTTTGTCATGCATCATCAGTGTTAAGTAAACTATTTGTAATATAATAAAGGAAAGACACAAAATAATTACCAAGTTCTAGTTGTTCTAGATACTCCAAGTCTTCCTCAACTTTAATAGGAATAGGTTCACTTCTAAGCCAATCTTGAAGACAAATAAGAGATTGCACCAGTTTAGGCGTCAACGAACTCCTGAACAAGTCAAGAATGCGACCTCCCATGCTGAATGAACATTCAGATGCAACACTTGAAATAGGAATGACTAATACATCACGAGCCATCTCCGCAAGAATGGGAAATCTAGGCTCATTCATTTTCCACCACTTTAAGATTTTAAAGTCATCTGTTTCAGGCTTAAGATCTTCAGCAAGATATCTTTCTAACTCTGACTTAGTACCTAAACCTCCGGTCACTTCCTTATGTTTCTCAAATTCCAATTTTGTTCTCATTGTTTCTCTTTTCAAAAAGCTATCATAACCACTGACAGTAGCTGTTGTGTTTCCAGATGAAGCAGATGATGTTCCTATTGAATTTTTTTTACATAATAATCAAACAAAGAATCCATATAATTTTTCACCTCTAAAATCAATTTTTCCCCTTCTTTTTCTCCAAACATCCTCACAATTGCAAAAGGAACATATTCAAGCTTGTTACGGAGATCCAAAATTGATGCAATAAAGATCATCTTGTTCATTTTTTCAGGTTCACCCCAATACTTGGCAAATTTTTCTTTCATTTTTTTTGCCATTTCTTTCAAACTAGTATCTTCATGTTCCATCCACTCTTTCAAAATAAGATCAAGCTCACAAATTTCAACAAAATGCACATTGGAAGTGACATAACTAGAACCAGAGACCCTAAAAGTAAGCAAATAAAAAGTTTCAAGAAATTTTACCATTGTTCTCACATTATCCCAGTCAGCACTTGTGAGATCACATGCACTAGTTTCATCTTCACATACATAGGTACGAAGATGATACAACAATCCAATATCAAAGAAACTATATTTGTCAAAGGCAAGCTCAAATTGTTGTGATGTGTCTAACATCATGTATGTAGAGTTCCATCGAGTTGAAACATCTAAGCATAATGATCTCTTGGAAGTTAACTTTTGAGATTCACAACATTCTTTAAACTTTCTGATCCTAGCGGGAGATTGTCTAATGTATCTCACAGCTTGTCTAACTCTCTTGATAGAAACACCAATTTCTTTCAACCCATCTTGTACAATGAGATTAAGTATGTGAGCCATACATCTAACATGCAGGTGTATACCATTCATTATATTAGTTCCCCAAGTAGTCAATTATTTAGACATTTCTCTTACTGTGACATCATTGGAACTAGCATTATCTACAGTTATAGTAAATACATTTTCCAACCCCCAATCAAGCAAGCAATTAGTAATTGTTGATGCCATATCATTACCCTTATGACTAGAGATAGGACAAAAGTTTATTATCCTTTTATGCAATTTCCAATCTCTGTCAATAAAGTAAGCAGTAAGACACATATAGTTTATTCTTTGTATAGAAGTCCAAGTATCTGTTGTAAGACAGATTTTAGGACGTGCTTCATTGAAGGACTTCTTCAAACTATGTCTTTGTTCACAATAAAGTTCATAATAATCTCTTGTCAATGTTCTACGAGAAGGAAAATTGAGGCATTGTGACTCCCATAAACTTCTTAAATCCTTCCTTTTCAACAAAACTAAATGGCAATTCATCCATAATTATCATTTGAGCTAAAGCTCTCCTACTAAGTGCTTGATCAAATTTTCAAGTGGTAAGCACCCCTTCATTTGTCCCATTTGAAGCTGGTAGAAAACTGATTTGTGTTTGACTATTTTCCATGCTACAGGGCATTTTGGGACACTTAGTGAGATGATTGTTCATTGATGTAGTACCATTACCTTTCGTAGCAGCAGCATAAGTTTTTTGACAGTAGTTACATTTTGCTCTTTTAGCTCCACTAGGATCATCATACTTCTCAAAATGTTTCCAAGCATCAGATCTAGGTTGCATCGCTTTCCTTTTCTTTGGAGCTTCATCAGGACTGTCTGGACTGAGACCTTCAGTATTAGGTATGCTATCATTTGAACCCCCACCTTCGCAGGTTTCACTTACCCTACTTCCATTTTCTTCCATCTACAAAAAATAATACAAGCATAACAATAAAATACTGAGCAGTGAGCTTTTCTTGTTTTAATAACAAGTTAGAACCTCTCAACAACACTGAAACCAACAAATATTACAAGAAAATGGACATCACATTCAAGAGTCAAGACTTATTTCAACAATATATATGTTGCATGCACCTTTAAGTCTTTAAATACTAACTTTTAGCAGAAAAAAAAATAAACTGAAACGAGAGAAAGAAGAGAAGATCGGCGAGGAGTAGAGAACACAAAAAAGAAGAAGAAATGAACGAAATATAACAAAAATGAAGCTTACCGCCACAAGAAATTTGACGACAATGACAGATCCCTAGCGTATTTGGGAAAACCACCAGTGTATCAATGTAAGCCCTAGCATATTTGGGGGAGGAACTGCCGATAGAGAGAACTAAGAAGAGAAGGGAGAAAGAAAAGCCCTAGCCTAAGAATGGGAAAAGAAAAGGAGCTGATGAGTGAACTGAGAAGGACCCTAGCGTATTTGGATTTTGGGCAATTGGGTTTGGATGGGCTTATTTTTATGGAACTTAAAATTGGGTCTTAGCCTATATAAGTATGGAATATATATTTTAAAGAATCCATGTACTAATAATTTCGTTTTTCGGTTAATCGAAAAAAATAAATCAATAACCGACGACCAAACCGAAAAGCTGAATTTTAAAAATTTTAATTTGAAACCGACCGAAAAAACCGAATAACCGAAATCGAAATTAAAAAAAAATTAGTTCGGTCGATTTTTTCGGTTCGAACTAATATATGTCCACCCCTGAGTCATAATAACACATCTAAAGTCAGGGACATTGGTAAGTCATCCTTCCATTTTCACGTCTAGTCCTTTATAATATTTCTAACTGAATATTTTGCTCCTTGCATTAACGAAAAGTACAAAATCGTTGATAAACCATAGTTCCAATTCGTAGGTCCTCCAATAATGTTAGTTATCTGAAACCAACTAATTATTTTTTATATCAACTTTTGGCCTATGAATATACCTCGAGGCTCTAAAGAGTTAAACAGCCAAATTATAATTATTATTTTTTAAAATTCGTATTAACCCAACATCTTTCAATTTAAAAGGTATATCTATACATAAGAAGAAGCAAAATGTCAGAAATGCAGACCCTTTTACTTAACCAATATTTAGAGAACTAAATTTTCTTTAAATTTATTGTGTGAGCTAAATATTTTATTTTCCTGAGGTTATTCCAAAGACTTAATGACTGCAAACGATCACTTCTCTATGAAGATGTATATTCATAAGTAATAGAGACCTCCGCTATTTATTACATGCATTAATAAATTTAATGTTGCAATAATGATTTTCCCATAAACGATGGATTCCTTATATATTTTCCTTTTGACGTTTGTCCCACATAATTATAAATACTAACCAAAGCCTAAATAATTAGCTGTATATACATCGACCATAACGAAGCAAATATAAATCATAAGCTGCAATATAATGGCTATTTGCAGGTCCTCCTACTCATGTTTTCTCCTTGTATTTCTAGCTATCATTGGTTTGGCTATCGCAAGAAATCTTGGTTACTCCTTTTCCATCTATTTTGCTCCCATTTTTTTTATTACCTTTAAATTTTTAGTTTAAGCGATTGAATGATTATTTAGATTAAGACTTCTTATTTTTTTGCAATGAACAGATCAAAAACAAGTAGGCCCACATTGCTACGATCAGTGCGCGAAATTGTTTTTTAACAAGGAGTGTTTGGCCTTTTGCATAAGGAGATCGTTTAATGGTGGCTCTTGCGTTCTTGACTCAACAGGATCGGGCTTATTCTTTTGTTGCTGCAAGATTTGATTATACACAATATTCATCTCTTATTTTCGATGTCATCTCTTATTTATTTTTAATTTTTTTCGTTTATATTTTTTTGCTTATTTTGCACGATTGTTTTTTTCTATTGTCAATGGATCTTGAATTAATTTTATGTCTCTGCACTTTCTTTCGGAGGAGTAATTTTTTTTGTCTAGCCGATAAATGAGCTAATTACCATTTATGTCATTCCCCTAGTTTTATATTGCATCACATTGTAACTACTTGATGTAGCGATCGACAGGAAAGAAAATTTATTGCCATTCCCCTACTTTTATATTGCATCACTAGCGATTCATAAAAAATTATTCACTCACGAACAGTGGCGTGTTTGATATGGAAAAAAAAAATATGAAAAGTTTTCTTAGAAGAAATTTTTGTCTTAATATTTAATTCTTTTAAAATTTAGAAATTATTTCAAAAGACCTATTGGAGAAAAACTTAAGCAAAGGAAGTCAGTTTTCCTTGTTTTAATTGGTGTTTGGTTGCTAAAATAACTTCTTTTTTTAACAATATTTTCTGAAAAGTATTTTTCTTTGTACAAAACACGTTCCAATTTTACATCAAACTATATTGATTATTGTAATTAAGAGGTTTGGATCGAGATATATATGAATTATCCATAAATACATTAAAATCTTACCTAACAAGTCGAATGCTCACCTTCAATTAGACATATGTGATCTAGTATATCATTAAAGTCTTACCTTATTTTATCTTCTTGAAATTTGACTCTCCCATTATGAAAATAACATATGTGCCTTTTGTATGGTGTGCACACCCGATAATCCTCATTCAGTATTATAGGAAATCCATGATTAATCTTGCGACCTTTTCTTTGCGAGGCTTTCACAATATGTGTCAAAACTGAGAATTAACGGAGAGAGATTTGAGCTGAAGCTCAACTGCCATGGCTGAAAGCCATAGAGCTCAGAAACGGTGAAGAAGCTTCGAGAGAATTTCAGATTGAGAGAATTATTTTCATTAATTGGAAAGAAGAAGTAATGCGCTTATATACAAGATACTATACCTGTACAGCTGTCATCTACCACTAACCGCCTAAACTACCACTAACTAATAAGTTGACATCAACTAACAACCTAACAAACTAATTGCAATAATAGCCATAGCCAATCCTAACAAATACGGCTACTAGTTAAATAATTACAATAACACTTACAACTCTGATCTTAACACCCCCTCAAGTTGGAAGGGAGGTACTCACTGCCAACTTGTGAAGCAATGAAGAATGCTTGATGTCCGTCAAAGATTTAGTAAGTATGTCCGCTAATTGTTCATCTGTGTGGACATAATGCAAAGAAATCAACCGCTCAATTAGCTTATCCCTAACAAAATGGCAATCCACTTCTATGTACTTTGTTCGTTCATGAAACACTCGATTCCTCGCAATGTGAAAAGCTGCTTGATTATCATAGTAGACTGGAATAGGAAGAGTTAAAGGCACAATTAGCTCCTCTAGAAGTTTGGACAGCCAAACAAGTTCTGCAACCACCTTTCTGGCAGATCTATATTCTGCCTCTGTAGAGTTTAAGGATACAGTGGACTGTTTCTTCGATTTCCAACTGATTGGACTGTCCCCAAGCAATACAATATAACCACTAACTGACTTTCTAGTCTCAGGTCAAGCTTCCCAATCTGAATCGCAAAAGGCTCTCAACCTATAGTCTGCGCTGTTTGATAGGAAGATCTCCCGACTAGGATCACCTTTTAAGTATCTGAGCACATGCATAGCAGCTTTGAGATGAGAGTCTCTAGGACTCTGCATGTATTTACTGAGATATTGAACATTATAAACAATATCAAGTCGGTGTTGGTGAGGAAGTTTAGTTTCCCCACTAGTTTCCTGTATTGAGTGGGATCTGTCAGTAACTGTAACGATCTGGTCGGTCGTTTCATGAGTTATAGCCCTATTTTTTCCATTTCTGCTTCTTTATATATGTTCAGCTGTATGTCATCGTATCGTGTTGGTTGGTTCGGGTCCGGAGTAATTTTGGAGTTCAATGAGACACTTAGTATTTTATTTAGAAGCTTAAGTTGGAAAAGTCAATCGGATGTTGACTTATATATAGAAGGTCTCGAATGTGAATTCTGACAATTCGGTTAGCTCTATTAGGTAATTTTGGACTTAGGAGCGTGTTCGGAATGTAATTTGGGGGTTCGTGGTAGAACTAGTATTGAATTGACGAAATTGGAAATTTGGCATTTTCCGGTCAGGAGTGGAAATCTTGATATCGAGGTCGGAATGGAATTCTGAAAATTGGAGTAGGTCCGTAGTGTTTATTTTTGACGTGTGTGCAAAATTTCAAATCATTTGGAGGTTATTTGATAGGTTTCGGCGTTGTTTGTGAAATTTGGAAGTTTATAAGTTCTTAAGCTTAAATCCGAGGTTGATTTGGTATTTTGGTGCTATTTTGAGTGATTCAAAGGCTCGACTAAGTTTGAATGATGTTATGGGATGTGTTGCCATGTTTGGTTGAGGTCCTAATGGCCTCGGGTGAGTTTTGGGTGGGTAACGGATCAATTCTTGGTTTTGGATGTTGACAGATTTTTCTAGTATTTTGTTGCAGAGAATTCCTTCATCGCGTTCGCGAAGGGATTATTGAGAGGTGCAGTTGAGTGTTCCTTCGTTCGCGTTGAGGGTCCTGCTTTCACGAAGGTGTAATACTTAAGGCTATGCGTTCGCAAGGTCTGTTCCGCGTTTGCGTAGGGTCAGCCAGCTAAGGCTTCGCATTCACGAGTGGGTCCTCGCGTTCGCGGAGAAGGAACTTTTGGTCTGAGATAGCTTATGCTTCGCGAACGCAAGGGCAGTGCCGCGTTTACAAAGAGGAAACGTCTCGGCAGAATGTTTAAGTTCAAAAACGAGGGTTTGAGTTCATAATTCCAAAATTCAATAGAGAGCTCGGGAGAAGGAGATTTAGAGGGGATTTTCAGAGAAGTGATTGGGGTAAGTGTTCTTCACTTGATTTTCGTTAAATCCCATGATTGTGTCTTAATTTGTATTATCTAAATTGGGAATTTGGGGTGAAAATTTGGGGGGGGGGGGGGGGGGGGGAGGAGGAAATGGAAGAGAATTGGAGAGTTGATTTTGGAGGTTTGGATGGTCATTTGATGTCGGATTTTGATGAATTTGATATGGGTAGACTCGTGAGTAAATGGGCTTTCTAGTTTTGTAATCTTTATCTGATTTCGAGATGTGGGCCCGGGGCCAGGTTTGAGCTAAATTCGGAATTTTTGGTCTAAATTGATAATTTTCGTGTGGAATTCATTCCTTTAGCGTATATTGATGTTAATATACTGATTTTAATTAGATTCTGAGCATTTGGAGGCCGAGTCGAGATGCAAGGGCATTGCAGGTTAGAGTTATGTCCGGTTTGAGGTAAGTAATGATTGTAAATCTTGTCAAGAGGGTATGAAGCCCCGGATTACACATTGTTTCACTATTTTAAGGAGACGCACATGCTAGATGACGAGTGTGTGGCGTGCACCGTTGGGGATT